ACACGCCGTCAGGGTGGGCGCACGCACGCCCCGGGACGCCCCGTCGGAGCCAGCACCGCCCATATCCTGCAAACGCGCGCCCACCCAGCTGGTGAAAAAAACCATCTGCAAGCAGCAGTCAGGTTGTCCAAATCCTTCCTCGCGGCTCGAAATAACCCCAAACGGCCCGGCAGGCAGCTCCACCAGCTGCGAGGGCCGGTGGCAGCCCCTCCCGCAGCCTCCAGCCCTGGAGAGGAATGAATGGTCAGTGTTTCTGGGCAGCAGGGCAGTAGGCGCAGGCGGGCCACCCTTGGGCCTTTGGCATCTGTTTACATCTTCAGAGCCATCTCCCAGGCATCTGGCAAAAGCAGCAGACATTTGGTGGTGGTGGTGGGGGGGATAAGCCCCAATGTTCAATAGTGCCCCAAGCTTAGCTGCTGTGTGACCTGCAAATTACTTAACCTCTCTGTGCCTCATTAGACTCATCTGGGAAGGGGCAACGGTATCTATCCTGTGAGGTTGCTAAGAGGGCTCAAGGGCTTAGAAAGGCACCAGCATTTAGCTGGAGGTCACTGGATGTTGGCTAGTATGCCCTGGGCACGGAGGGCCTGGTTGGTTCTGGTCCCCTCATGGGCAGAGCTCCATGCCTCTCCATCCTACGCCGGAGAGCAGACTAGGAAGCAACTGGGAGGGATCACTGGGTTTGCCTCAATGTGCGGTGTGTCTGCTTGTTTAAGTCACTTACAAGCTGGCCGTGCCTCGAACCAGGGCTTTAATACACCTAACTGCCCGGGTGTCCGCAGCGGCTTAAAACCCCTGGCTCTAGCCCATCCTCCTGGGAGTTAAAGAGAAAGCCCCAGAACCTTTCCAGATGGCAAAGCTGTAGGTCAGGGTTGGGGGATGGCTCGCAAGAGGCCATCGAGAGTGAAATCAGGGGCTGGAATTGACAGCTCCCCTTTCCCTCTGCCACCTCTTCAGGTGATGACACAGCTCTTCAGGCCCAGAGTGGACATGCACGGGGCTGTCGCTTCCTGGGGCCTGGGGGAAGGGCGTCAGGGGTGTCAGGGCTGGACAGTCCCCGTGGTGGTGAGATGAGGGGCCCCCGGCCCCGGGGGAGTCGTCCTGCCGCTCCGTGCCCACGGCACTAAATCACGGGCCAGAGGCCTGCCCAGGTCAGGGCCCGGAATGTAACCTGGCCCGGCATCAAAAGGAGGCGCTCTCAGCGGTGGCGTCACCTGCCTGAGACTCCAGAGGCGCTGATTTTTATGTTCAGGATCTTTAATAAGAAAGCAGGAGGCCCGGATTCCAGGCCGTAAAACCCTGGCCTTTGCTGATGCGGGCGTCCAAGGAGAGGAAAGTCTGAGCGTTTGAAAGAGATCCGATTGCAACGGGTGCGAGCGGGAGGAGGGCCGCGGCTCTGCCGAGGGAGCCACCCTGGTGCCTGGTGACAGAAGGCGGCCAGCTGTCTCCCTCCTGCCGGGTTCCTGCAGGCAGCAGTGGGGCCCCGTTCTGGCCCTTCTGCCACCTCTCAATGGGCCCGAGACAGCCAATAGGGGAAGAGCCAGGAAGGAGAGAAGTGATGGAAAATAAGACGTTTTCCTGAGCTCCATTTCTTAAAAAAAAATAATAATTTTACTGATTTCAGAGAGGAAGGGAGAGGGATAGAGAGAAACATCAACGATGCGAGAGAATCACAGATCGGCTGCCTCCTGGGATGGAACCCACAACCCGGGCCTGTGCCCTGACCGGGGAATCAAACTGTGACCTCCTGGTTCCTAGGGCGACGCTCAACCACTGAGACACACTGGCCAGGCCATTTCTTTTTACCTATTTATCTTGACTACTGAAAGTATTACAGATGCTCCGCCTTCTTCGTCCCCCCACTGACCCCTCCGCCATCTTGGCCACTGTGTCCTGGGGCAGGGACCCCCTTGGCGCCTCTGCTCACCCTTATACCCAGGGCTGCACCCCAGACGCCCGGGGAAATGCGCAGTCGCAGCACAGAAACGTACGCTCCTTTGACACCCATGATGCATGTTTGTTTGGACCCAGGCCCCTTGAGACAGGACTTTCAGGATTAGCTACCGGGGGACAAACAGAGGGGAATCCAGAGGCCACAACGACCAAGGGTGGGGCACAGGCAATACCTTAAGGATTGCTCTGGGACCAACCTCAATGGAATTTTAGAACCTGGGGCCAGAGGTCACTGCTTTCCACCGGCAGACAGCCTCCTGGGCAGGAGACCTCCCTGTGGCACCCCTGCCCGGCGGGCACCTGACCTCCCTGCACTGAACTGGGCCAGTGCAGGGCTGGCCCCCCCTGCCCCGGAATCTCCAGCTGTGGACCCACATCTGCCTCACAAGGACCTTCATGGGGCCCCCCTCCTTCTGTAGGGCCACGCAGAAGAGGCTCAGCCGTTGCATCCTGTGTATGCTGAAGACAGCCCTCAGTTTCCCTGGCCATCTTCTTGGCCTCACCCCCTAGCGGCTCTGTGGGCCTGCCTGACCGGTCTCATCCACGACACCCCGGCTCGGGGGCCACCTCCTGCCCCGGGTCCCCTCTTTTTTGTCCTGGAATCCTTGGCTCCCACACGCCACCCATGTAACGTTTCTCATCTGGGGGAGGTGGGCACAGCGGAGAGAGCAACCACAGCCACACAGCCTGCCTGCCTGTTTGGCTTCATTCTTGTCCTTTAAATAGCAACCCAGCGCCTTCTCTAGAAACAGGACGAGGGAGGCAGGGAGCTGGGAGTCCCAGCTGCACGGAGCCGGGCGGGAGGAAAATATTTACGCGCCCCGACGGCATTAGCGGCTTTCAGAGGCCTCCTTTGAACTGTTAATCAAGCCCAATCGGGGAGAATAATAGCCTGATTATTACCGCCTCGTTTGCATGACAAAGAAGCCCAATAAAACTTATTTTGCTGCGCGTGGAGGGGGTGCGAGGGCCGGGCCCTGAGAAAGGAGGCTTAGGAATGCGGTAAGCCGCTCCGAAGCCTGAACCCAGGAATAAAGACAATGCAATTTGCCACCAAGAAAAGCCCAATAGACCAATAAATTACCCGCGTGCAAAGGGATTAGATCAGGTTTCAGATGCCGAGTTGGGAGGGGTGGGGTGAGCCAGGGAACAGAAAAAACCTGCCTCTTCTTAAAGGGGCAAAGCTCCGCTTGAACACAAGCCCCGTGGCCAGGCGGGCAGCTTCCAAACCCGGGGCGTGCATGGCAACGGGCAGGACTTGCTGAAGGTTCTGGAAGCAGCTCTGTGCCAGGCACCGTGCTTCATGCTGTTCCTGGAACAAGCCCCAGGGAGCTCCTGTGCAGAGGGAGAGCGAGTCACGGAAGCTTCCAGCATGCAGAGCAAACACGTCTTATCTGAGCACTAAAATGCAAAAATGATGGAAGAATGGAGGCTTGGGAGGGCATCGGGGGAGCGGCATTTCAATGAGGTCTGGAAGGGCAGCGGGATTTGACGGGTCCCAGAACCGCAAGGGGCCAGGCACAGCTGCGGTCGGCCAGACGCTAACTGCTGGTTGGTGAGCGTGCAGCCGGGAGTTTGGGGGCAGACACAAGGGCCTTGGGTGCCAGCTGTGCCCCTGGTAAAGCGAACGGCGGGCAGCTTCCCTCTGCTTCCCTCTGCTGAGTGGGGCTGGGGAGAGAGAAAGCCCTTTGCTCTGGTCACGGGGCTCCCTGTTGGATTCCGCCACTGGGGGCACTAGACGGAAGAGGGAAGGCTGGAGGCGCACACTGGTTCACCTTCTCTTTTAAATATGTTTTGATTGATTTCAGAGAGGAAGAGAGAGAGAGAGAGAGAAACATCCATGATGAGAGAGACTCGGTGATGGGCTGCCTCCTGCACACCCCCCACTGGGGATCGAGCCCGCAACCTGGGTGTGTGCCCTGACCGGGAATCGAACCGTGACCTCCTGGTTCCTAGGGCAACACTCAACCACTGAGCCATCTGGACGGAGCCAGTGGTGGACAGTGGTCCTTGTCTCCCCACCCCTGTCACCTCCCAGCGGCGCCCTCCACTCCCCGCCCAAGCATCACTGGTGCCACTCAGAAGTACTGAGACCAGCCAGGCACGGGCCCTCCTCATGGACTGGGCCCCCCAAACCTCTTCCCTTTGTCCCCCAGCCCAGGGGCAGAAACCACTTCCTGCCACTGTGTGCCCCGGTGACCCCTCCTGCTTTCTCACTCCCCCACACCCACCTGCCACCCCCTATGTTAAGATCCCTCTGTGGACAGAGCCTTGTGGTTTTTATTTTCCTGACTGGACCCTGAGGCACCAGCCTGAGGACTTCCGACTCGATCCAGTTGATCAGGGGCCCCGGATAATTGCCAGCAAGGACGCGGCACACTCGGAACACTATTTGGGGGCGCAGGGTAACTTAAGAGGCGATGGCTCCAATTGGGATGGAAGCAACTGGGTGGAGCTTAGAGGAGAACTCACTGCACAGCCTCTGGGAGGGCCGTGCTGAAGCGGTCGTCCTATGCCATGCCCGTCTTCGCTGCCCACCCCCCGGGGCAGCTCCTCTCTCTCCAGCAAGAGGCCGGTGCGGGTCCTGAGGGTGGTTATGGGAACGGAGCACCAGCTAGGAGGGCCAACCTGCCTCCCCCAGCGTGGCAGCCGGCAGCAGCAGGAGCTACCGGCCATTCTGCACCCTCTCCAGTCCCTCCGCTCTGAAGCGGGAGGCGACGGCCACCCGAGCCACGGTCGGTATGTGGTAAGCTCAGCCCTGGGCAGCGTTCTGGGGGCTCCTGGCCGGACAGATGCCCGAGGCTGCCTGTCTGTCCCGCTTGGAGGAATCTCACCCCATCGCCCTGACGTCAGCATGCAGGTGTTTGGCATCGGACACCGAGAGGACCACACCCAGGTGATGGCGTGGCTTTTTCGCCGGCGACAGCCGACGCCACCTTCCTTAACCTGCGAGCAGACAAAACTGGCCACCTTTCGAAAGGCCTTTCTCCCCGGAGGGCCCCAGGGACTGACCTAGCCTGAGACCCCCCCCCCCCGAAAGGCACTGGGGACCTTCTGGGCCTTTCTGCAGGCACTGGCCCAACGGAGAAAGAGCGAAGAGCAAGGCCGGAGGAATTTTCTCAGTGAGTTAGGAAGCGGGAGGAGGAGGGCTGGGGAGCTGGGGGTTAACTCCCTCCACACATGCCAAGTGCGGGCAGGGGTGGCTGCACGCCGGCTCAGCGAGCTGAGGCAGTAGGCACTGCCCCCCAGCCGCACCCAGCCAGGGCTGCTCTGCCCCAGCCCCCACACAAGCCAAGTTGTTGCAAGAAACCACGCTGCCTGCCAAGGAAGAGGGCACACCTCCGCTGACAAAGTGGACACCCTCCCCCAGCTCCCACGGCGGCCACTGGGAGCCAGGTCCACGGCGAACAGGGCTGCCAGCCAGGCAACTGAGGGCTCCTCCGGGCAGGAGGCCCCGTGGTGGGCCAGGGCCAGGGGCAGGCACAGGATGCCATCCTGGCTTAAGGCGGACAGCTAAGCTAAGCTACCCGGGTTCTGCAGGAGGGTGGTGATGGGCAAAGAAAGACACCCCTTTTCAGATCTAATTGAAGCTTGCAGGTGAGCAAGTTGGTCTTTCTGCTTTGAGGCGAGGTATCACCCTTTCCCCCCTGAGTCTAAGGCTAGCCCTAGAGATGCTAATTTTCCATCCTGGCTCTGCCTCCAGCAACCCTGGGCCCCTCTGCTTGGCCACTCCAGGTCAACATTCATTTGAAGTGGCTTTTCTCCCTCACCACCATCCGCGGGCAGGCCTTCCTCCTCCACCTTCCTCCTGCTGGGGGAGGGCACATGCAGGCCAGCTGGGCACGTGCCCAGGGCGCGCGCACCCCCCCCACACACCCCCGCACACCCACACCTGGGTGTGAGCCTGTGATCCGGGACGTTCCGTAGCCGGGGGAGCAATCATGGGCTCCTTTCTGCAGGGACCTGGGCGCAGAGGGATGGATGTATGGCTTTCCCAGGCGCCTGGGTATGCTGCCTGCCCCGGGCGAAATGGCGCGTGAAATGAATACATAAGCAAAACCCAAAGGACAGAGTCTGCCTCGGGAAATGTGCACGGTGACAGCCCTGTCAACTGGTTTTCCCGGGCTGTGGCCGGGTGGCATCTTCTGTGGAACGCTGAGCCAGGGGTGGAGAGGGAGCCGCGAGGAGCCCTGGGAGGAGGCAAGAATGCCAGACTCATGGGAAATGTGCTGAGAGAGAGAGAGAGAGAGAGAATGTCTCAGCTCTCTGACCACTCAGACACCCTTGCACACTGCCGAGGGCTTGGTCTCCTGAGCCTTAGTTTCCCCACCGAGGATTAACATTTAAAAAAAAAATATATATATATATATTTGTGTTGATTTCAGAGAGAAAGGGAGAAGGAGAGAGAAAAACATCAATGATGAAAAGAATCATGGATGGGCTGCCTCCTGCATACCCCCTACTGGGGATGGAGCCCGTAACCCAGGCCTGTGCCCTGACCGGGAATCGAACCGTGACCTCCTGATTCATAGGTGGACGCTCAACCACTGAGCCCCACCAGCCGGGCGAGGACTGACATTTTAAAAGCAGCTGCGGTTGAAGAGTAAAGGGGAGAATTCTCAGAGCAGCGATCTCCCTGTGCATGAGAGCGGCCTGGAGGGCCTGTTCAAGTGGAGACCACGGGGTCCCACCCTGAGTGTGCACTGCAGCAGGTCTGGTCTGGGCCCAGGCCTTAGATTTCTAAGAACTTCCCAGGGGAGGCAGACGGGGCTGGTCCAGAGACCGCACTTTGAGAACCGCCATGCTGGAGCCCAGCATCCATATGTCGTAGGAAACGCGCCAACATATCGCCAACATATGCCATGGGTGGGTTTCCCTTAGAAATCTGGTTTAAGAAGTCCCAATGGCTTCTGAGTTTTAACCGTATCTATTAATTGTGTCCTGAAGAGGATGCTGTTGGTGGAAGACTGTACTAAGCAGTCTCTTCTGCCCTTGTCCCCCGTACCCCAGCTACACGTGGCTGCTCTGCCACCCATTGAAGGCACAGCATCGGCCAAGCAGACACCCTGACAGCTCACGGGACACAACAGAGACCCCTTCCCTTTACCCGACGGCAGATGCCAGCCTTGCTAGGGCGAGGCGCTCCCCCCCACCCCATGTCACTCAAGCCAGGGGCACAGTAGGTGTGCCATAAACGCGGAACGGGTACATGTAAACATTCTTAAATGACACAAGCCCGTTCAGTGTAGCCGCCGTCAAGGCATCTTTCTCCGCACAACTCCGTCCAATTTAATTTGCACTCCCCTGGGCTCTCTCCTGGCAGCCATTCAAGCTGACGTGCACCGAACAAACCCAGGCTTTCAATCCAGCCCACCTGTTTTCAGCGGGAGCGGCCGTGGTGCCCGGGGTCCCCGCATGTCCCCGGCCCTCACCCTTTGCCCCTCTGTCCTCCATCCTGCTCTCCCTCAGGCCTGCAGCCCCCCTGCCAGCGCATCAAAGCCCTTGACAGTCCATCTCTGCTGTGGACATGGCTCATCCCGTCGCTTCCTTAAGAAACTTGTCTTTTGACCCAGGTTTCTGGAGCACACAACTTTTCAGAAACCACCCCCTCTCCCTGGCCTCTTGAGTTTGGCGCTCTTGCAAGCTCAGGTTTCAGTAAGGTGGGCAATTTTGACTAAATGCAGCTGTTAAGGCCTCAAATTAGAAGAAACATTAGCCAGTTGGCGTGACAGTGCGGCGGCTATCTGTTCCATCGGCCAGGTTTGAGTTACGGGCCTGGAAGCCAAGAAGAAATGGGCTTCTTGGAAAACAAAAGTGATGGAATTCGGGGGGTGGCGGATTACATAACCGACCCACCCGCTTTCCCCAGACTGCGGGGGACACTTCAAAGTTTGCAACAAGGAAATAAAACAACAACAATAACAATAACAACAACAAAACCGCCACCAGTAGCCCTCGCAGCTCCCTCCTGAGTTCCGCCGTCAGCCCGTCCTTTCTCCCTGTCTGGCCCAAGAAGCTAACCAGCGCTGCCACTTTAAGAGCAGGAAGGTGTTGTTTTAAGGGCTCCTAAGCCCCCCCTTCTCCATTTTCAGCTCGGGGTTGAGATCACATCCCCCACCACCGCAGGGCTGCCCGGGGACAAAAGCCATCTATCAACCCATCTGATAAAACGTCCGATGGGCCGGATCGTTATCTGGGACCAAACCAGGGTGCACATGCTGCAAACTCCAACTCCGAAAGGGGAACTTCGTTTGCAAGGAGAGGGTCATTCTTAAAATTAATTTTTTTTCTTTTTAGTTCTTGGGAAGGAACCAGATCAGCCTTTCAGCCAGACCGCTTTGTAGATGTTTTTTTTTTTAAAGGGGGTGGTGGGGGGAATGGGATTCCCTGCTGTGGACGGGCTGCGGAGGTTTCAGTATCCCCAGGGCCAGACAGGGCGCAGGAGGTCCAAAGCTCTTAGGGGCACTGACACCCCAACTCCCCCTGTCCTAGGCCTGGGCCTCCCCAGTGGAATCTAGGGCTGGGAGCAGGTTAGGGTTCCCCGGGGCACCCTGGGGCGGGGGGTGGTGCGTGCAGCTGCCGAGGGTGAACTGGGCGCGCTGCACCCGGGGGCCACCAGGGACACCCGAAGCAGGACCAGGGCGGGAAGGTAAACTGATCCCAGGCCCTTGCCGCCGCCTAGGCTGCCGGCCTGCCTGCCTGCCTGCGCGGTCCTCCTGCCCCAGCGGCAGCCTGCAGCCTGGATGGCCCAGTTCTGCCAGTTCCTGAAACCCAGTTGGCGGAGGAGCAAAACAAAACAACGCAATCCCGGGCTCACTCAAGTCCTTTCTTGCAAAGTCCCCGCGGTGCGCGGGGGCTGCGCGCATCCGCGTTGGGCTGCGGAGCGAGACACAGAAACACTCTTGCATTTTCGCAAGAAGACACCTCCGGGCCTCGCCACACAATGGCACCGGCCGGGGGGCGTCCCGCCTCGCCGCGGGGGACCCTTGGGCCTGAACCCTGGGCTGATGTGTATTTTTTTTCTTTTTTTAGCGAGAAGAGAAAAAAACGGGCATAAAGGGTTTCACTGGCGTTTCCCAGCTGTGAGCAGCATATGGGAAAAATGAAATAAAGTTTTATGAAACATTATAAAGAAAACAGAGCAGGGATTTAAGTTTCGGACCTTCCCCCTCCCCCCCACGACAGGGGAGGGAAAAGAAGAAAAAAAAAAAAAGTCAAGAAACTGGAGCGTTTGGGAAGGAACAAATGCTTCTCTGTGGCGCTGGTCTCCCTTCCCCCAACAAAAACAAGAGGTCGGGCCCGGAGGAATTTGAAGGCAGCGATCTGCCAAAAACATTGTGAAAAACTATGGGGGATTCATTGGAAACAGATGGGCTTTTTCAGCTTTAATTCTGAAATTCTCTCCCTTTCTGACACAATAAAAACAAACAGGGGGCGACGCGGGATGTTATCAAACGGGAATACGGGCTGCTCGGAGCCCAGTCCGAGGGCTCCCGGGCGTGGGGCCGGCCGGTCCCTGCAGGCGAGGGCGGCGGGGACTTGGCTAGGACCTCGGGGGCAGCCCCGGGGCCACC